CAACATATCCTGCAAATTTAGTATTAATTCCTCATCAGCCGCAGCCTGTTGAAAAAAGTGGGCCAGATAATGTTTTTAACACACTGTAGCATGGCTAAAAATTTGCTATGAATTTTAATAAATTTATGAGAATTAATACCCAATTATGAATTTTAATAAATTTATGAGAATTAATACCCAATTATGAATTTTAATATTCAGAAAATATCAATCTCTCGTTTCGGGGCACCACCGGAGTTGTTATAATCCTAGAGTCTCCGGACCTCTAGGTAGCTGTTAATAATTATACAATTATTACTAGTGATCAGTTAGCTAATAATCGCTAAATTATCTTAAATCAATCAGTCAGTCTCATATCTAAAGGGTCAATTCTCTTGGCAGGGACGTGGAAATAGTCAACACACACACAGTTCCTGATTACAGTGAATTTATTAACTAACTAATGCGATATAGAAGGGTGGTTAAATACAGGGAAAATAAACAATGGCTGAACAATGAGAAATGGAGGTTTGATTGTGGGAAGCATTTGACTCATACGGCAGAGGAGAACTAATGAAAGTAAGCTATGAGTTTAGGAGTTAAAAAGGAAATATTAACACTATGGGACATCCCTGACCACAGAATGTTTGTTAGGTCTTACTGTTTGTCGGCGGCCTGCTTTGGCCTGTTGCACGGGGCCCGCGCTAGCTGCCCGATCCTGGCTTTTTGCTAGGGATTCTCCGGGGTTCTCCGTGTCTGGCAATTCGGCTGTTTTCAGGTTTCCTTCATTGCTGCTGGCGAGACTACGTGGCTTGGTCTGACCTCATTGAAGTTGGCTCGACAAACAAGCTTAAAAGGGAACTTGGTCGTTCCTGAATTAGTCCAGTGTAAGTTAACGGACTGATAACTTTAACAAAACAAAAGAAAGAAAGAAAATAAAACAAATACAGTTGCTGGAACTGAGGGGCAAATCGATGTCGTGGCACTTTGCGTGTGTAGCTTCAAGCGAACAAAGGCCTGTTTCGCTGGTCGAACTCTTAGGGCGTTGCCTGGAGAGGCACGCCGGATACCTTTCTAAACTTTAATGTCTAAAAGAAAAGAAATCTATTTGCGTGTATTATAATCAGATATTTTCCACAATCAAACCTCAGTGGTCAAACAGTTGTACCATTCTAAGTTAAGCATTTGGTAACAGGAAACAATAGTCACATTATTGGTCAGGATATTTATACATTAACGGCATTTCCGACGATGGTATGTAATACATATTTCGTCCACTTGGGGGAGCTCAGGTTACATGAGGAAAGCTTAGATTAATCCAAGATCATCTCTCCTTAGGAACTGGGGAATTTAGTTATTCAGCCTTAGATTCAAGCTGGCGATTAAGAGTATAGTATGACATTTCTTTATCATCATTTCTAAAGGAATTGTGTGAGAAAGTATTGTGAACAAGTATTGGTTACACATAAGATGACGGAGTGTCCTTAATCTTGCTGAAAAAAACAAACACTGCAAAAGTAACTTATTTAGATTCTTTTCAGCACTAATATCAACAACAGATAGCAGCAACATGGTAACATAACTACTCAAATAGAGGCAAACGTAATCAAGTAACTAAAAGATTTAATTAAACTTAATTAAATGCTTTGAGTCTTTGGAGACTGCAGTCTTTATTTATTTAAAGTTCGGCGTCCTGGATTATGGCACACGGTGAGACAAGGGGTATCCCTTTGATGGGGTAATGAAACACAGAGCAAGGTTAGTTGCCACGGTTAAGTGTGTCGGGGGGGCAGTTTTGATAGGCTGTTCAGGGAAATGCTAATCGCTGGTTAGTGTCCCTATCAGCTTCGCTATCAAAAAGGTGCCAGTTTTACGATCAACTGCTCAAGAATAGCACTTAGAGAAAGCAACTTTTCCACCCCCCTTCCGTTGGGGTCTCTTTAGTAGTCTGTTGAAGTTGATCTTTAACCCCCCTGCTCCTCTCTGGGAGAGGAAAAGGGGAATTTGGAGTAGCTCCAAATTTATTTAATATAAAATGCACAATTCCACACGGTTGTCCCACTACAACACTAAAACTAGCTTTGTTAAATGTTAGGTCTTTGGCAGGAAAAACATTTTTAATCAATGATTTTATAATAACTCACAATCTTAATTTCATGTTTTTAACTGAAACTTGGTTGGACCAAGATAACAGTGCAGCTGTTCTTATCGAGTCTACCCCTCCCAGCTCAGTTTTATGAGTGAAGCTAGAGTGCATAAGAGAGGAGGTGGAATTGCCATTTTGTTTAATGACTCCCTCCAATGCAAAAAGATGTCTTATGGGAATTTTGCTTCTTTTGAATATGTGGCTCTTCAGCTGAATTCCTCTTCTCGAGCTATTTTTCTAAATATCTACAGGCTCCCTAAATACTGTGCAAACTTTTTTGATGACTTTGGTGAACTGCTGTCTATAATCTGTATTGACTTTGACTGTGTGGTTATTGTTGGTGATTTTAACATACCTGTTGACAACCCCCAGGAAAGAGGGACTAAAGAACTGTTTTGTGTTCTTGATAATTATGGACTGACCCACCATGTGACGAGGCCCATGCACAATAAGGGGCACACTTTGGACTTGGTCATCTCCAAGGGTCTGGTGACTGATGTTGCTCTCTCTGATCATTCCTGTGTTTTCTTTGAGAGTGCTATCTGCGTGCACACAAATGTTAAAACAGAGGTGATCACTAACGACATATCACTGAAAACACTAGTGAAAAATTTATTGAGGCTTTCTCCTCGACACCCGCCCTCTCACGGGTCTCAGTCAATGAGCTTCTAGATAATTTCAGTTCTAAAATTACAAATGTTATTGATGCCATTGCACCAGCCAAGGTGAAGGTGGTCTCTGGTAAGAGAAGATCTCCATGGAGAAATGCCACGCTGGTTAGAACTCAAAAAAGAGAGTGTCGAAAAGCTGAACGCAGGTGGCGGAAAACAAATCTCCAGGTTCATTATGACATCTATAAAGAGAGACTTCGCATTTATAATTTAGAGCTGAGAAATGCAAGGCAGTCCTTCTTCTCTGACATCATCACCAAAAACACTAATAATGCACGTGCCCTGTTTTCTACTGTCGACAGGCTAACCAACCCTCCTGTGTCTGTAGCCTCTGACCTTCTATCCACCAAGGCCTGCAATGAATTTGCCTCCTCCTTCACAAACAAAAGTCAAACAATTAGACAAGCAATCAGTGCCTCCATGTCAGTAACAGGATATGTCTTGTCCCTGTGTCCACTTAAAAACAATTCATGAGACAATTTGATTCTATTAACCATAAAAACCTGGAGGACATAATACAACATCTGAAATCCTCCTCATGCTGCCTTGATATTCTGCCAACAGGTTTATTCAAAAATGTTTCTAACTGCATGGCCTCAGATCTATTACAAATTGTCAACATGTCTCTCCTCTCAGGTTTTTTCCCACAGGCCCTAAAAACTGCAGTCATTATGCCACTCTTTAAAAAGAGCAATCTAGACAGTTCACTAATGAGCAATTATAGGCCAATATCAAATCTCCCATTTCTAAGTAAAATCTTTGAAATGGCTGTTTTTCAACAGCTTAGTGCTTTCTTGGCACTAAATAACTGTTTTCATGTCTTCCAGTCAGGTTTTGACCACACCACAGCACTGAGACAGCTCTTGTTAAGGTCTTCAATGACATCCATTTAAACACTGACAGTGGCAGAATTTCAGTCTTAGTATTATTGGATCTCAGTGCTGCATTCGACATGGTCGACCACAACATATTACTAGACAGACTTGAAAACTGGGTTGGACTTTCTGGCACAGTACTAAACTGGTTTGAATCCTACTTAAAGGACAGGGACTACTTTGTGTCTATAGGTAATCACACATCTGAGCTGACAAAAATGACATGTTCCATTCTGGAGCCTCTTTTGTTTAACATTTACATGCTTCCACTGGCTCAGATTATGAAAAACAACAAAATATGTTACCATAATTGATGACACGCAGATTTACATAACCATTTCACCAGGGGACTATGATCCCATACAGGCGCTGAGTAACTGTATTGAGCAGGTCAACGATTGGATGTGCCAGAATTTTCTTCAATTAAAGGATAAAAGGATAAAACTGAAGTTATTGTTTTTGGAGCCAGGGAGGAACGATTGAAAGTCAGTGCTCGACTTCAATCTGTAATGTTAAGAACCACAAATCAAGCCAGAAATTTTTGGTGTAGTCATGGACTCAGACCTGAATTTGAGGAGCCATATTAACACAATTACAAAGTCAGCCTACTATCACCTGAAGAATATATCAAGGATTAAAGGACTTATGTCTCAGCAGGACCTGGAAAAGCTTATCCATGCATTTATCTTCAGTCGACTTGACTACTCTAACAGTGTCCTTACAGGCTCCCTAAGAAATCCATCAGACAGCTGCATCTGATTCAGAACGCTGCTGCTCAAGTCCTCACTAAGACCAAAAAGGTGGATCACATCACTCCAGTTCTGAGGTCTTTACATTGGCTTCCTGTATGTCAAAGCATTGATTTCAAAATCCTGCTGTTAGTTTATAAAGCACTAAATGGTTTAGGGCCAAAATACATTTCCCGATCTTCTGCTTCGTTATGAACCATCCAGACCTCTCAGGTCGTCTGGGGCAGGTTTGCTTTCTGTCCCCAGAGTCAAAACTAAACAAGGAGAAGCAGCGTTGAGTTATTATGCTCCGTATATTTGGAACAAACTCCCAGATAACTGCAGGTCTGCTGAAACCGTTTAATTAAATATTTAAGATTTTTCTTTTTATTGATAACTTAGACTGTAACTTTTACTGTCCTGTTTTCTTTTTCTTTGTTTTTAGCTTTGTATTATTTTCCATTTAACTCTTTTAACCCTGATTGTAACACTGTAACTTTTATTGTATTTTATGTTGCTTTTAAACTTTTACATAGTTCCCTGTTGCTTTTGTTTTATGTAAAGCACTTTGAATGACCTTGTTGTTAAATTGTGCTATACAAATAATCTTACCTTGCCTTGCCTTAAAACTAATTTATATAAAATAGCTCCATTATTTGTAAACTGACTTGTGTTTGTGTTTGACATATGTGATGCTTCATTTATTTAAAATTTTATTTGTAGGCAATTTCTGTTTATGTTTTATTAATTCAATTCAAACCACTAAGTTACCTATGTGATTCTTCATTTATTTGTTCTTTAATTGTACATTATGTTTTATTTGTTTCACACCACATGTGTGATATAGGCTAACGTTACTGATTTTTATTCAACTTGTCTGTTACATTGATTGAGGTAAAGCACTTTATTACCTGTATTTAAAAGTAGGCTACTATAGCCTACAAATAAAGCTGTTAAATTATTATTATTAGCCTGTGGCAACTGTGAATACATCTCTGTAGGATAGAAGGAAACAAGGCTGCTGATTAATGGGCTAAAAGAGCATTAAACTAGGACAAATTCACTTATCACTGAATAATTACATCTTTATTTACATCATCAATGAAAAGTGTGCCTGAGCTATTAGTAAGGTAAGAAAGAAAATATTTAGAGTCGTTAATGCTGCGGTACAGGAGGTGGCGCCATGTAGCTTTCGTACTGGTTTGTAGTCCGACATCAAAACCAACGAACTACTATAGCATTGTGTGCAAGCCTCCATAAAACCACAACATTAAGGGAAAGGAGAGACGGGGACGCGGGAGGAACCAGTGTCCTGTCAGCTGGGCACTTTTAGCATCGTTATTAGCAACGATACACAGAATTATTAAACAATGGCCAACACTGCCCGGAGAGCAGACACAAGAAACCGACAGGAGATGTGTCTGAAGGAGACATGTTTCAAAGCTGTCCGGAAACATTTTGCTGTCCTGGGCATTGAGGCTGTTCTTGGTAAGTGGGGGATATTTACGCTTAAATGTTCCTGTAACGTTACTTAGCCTGGAAGAACACGAATAGCTAGCTAACACACAGAACAAGGAGTCGCGCCAAATATTGACTAAGTAACGCTACCTAACGTTAACGCTGCATGTGTTGAAAGGGGAGACGTTAGACGAGGGACGAATGAAAGGAAAACCCCGAATAAGATTAGAACAGTGGATAAAACCATCAAGTACAGATGCTGCCGTGCACCAGGGCTCACTGAACGGGTTGGAGAGTGTGAACATGTTGTCAAAAAAGTGGTTACGGCCTTTGCCGTCACCTGGGGCGAGTTCAATCTCAAAACGTTTTCTGATTGAACCACGTTCCCTTGCAACGTTCCGCAACCGGCTTGGAGGTCTGTTTTCTCCCGTGTGGTGGCCGTGTCACAAGAGTTACAAGTGTCACAAGTGCCAATCAGCTGCGATAAGTTTGTAAACACAACGGTGTTATAAAGGCAGGGAAATGCAGTGCGCTTGCGTAAACAACAAGGTGTTCAGGCGAGTAGCATGTAGCTTCTTCTTCTTCTTCTCTGGGTTTTATGGCGGATCGCAACCAACTTGTTCAGGTGCATACCGCCACCTACTGTACCGGAGTGTGTAATATCAAGGTTTTAGTACTTCAGGTGACAGGTTCAGTGAAACAAAAGGTAAATAAACTGAAAACAAAACAAAATTAAATCAAACAAACAAAAAGGCCGTTATGATCTAATCCTGTAGATTTGAGAAAATTAAAGAGAGGTTTGCAGCACTCCCTTGTTTCCTCACTCATCCCTAAAATTCCTTCTAAATTCAATATATCTTCACGTAAGATCTTTCTCTCAGAATTATATTTACTACACTTCATGATGACATACTCAACATATTCAGGAACTTTACAAACCTCACATTTATCAGACACACATTTTGCCATTAAATAAAGCGTTGATTTTAACCCAGTATGTCCAAGCCTTAATGTTGAAAAAGCCACTTTACTACATTTCCCTTTGAAACCCTTCACCTTAATTGATTTCTGTATGCTGTAATAGTGTCTCCCTTTAGTGTCTGTGTCCCACTTCTTCTGCCATACGTCACTCACTGCTGTTCTAATTAATGATTTGGCCTCTGCTTTTCCAAAGGGAACTTGCATTATTTCATCATCTTTTAATTTCAACGCCGTCTTTGCAGTCTCATCTGCTTTCTCATTCCCATCAACACCAACATGAGCAGGGACCCAGACAAATTGCACATCAACTCCAGCTTTTTGTATTCTCAGCATTATTGTACATATATCAATCAATAGATAATCTCTTACTGTCTTTTTGGAATTTAAACTATACAGGGCTGCAGTGGAGTCTGAACAAATGACAACTCTCTCAGGCCTCACCTCTTCTATCCATTGTAACCCTAAAATAATAGCAACCATGTCTGCTGGATATACAGGTAATTTATCATTAATTCTTTTACATATAACTACATCAAACTCAGGTGTGTATGCTCCTGATCCTACGTGCTCAGTCCCTGGATCTTTTGATCCGTCAGTAGATAATAGCATATAATTATAATAATTCCTCTTCACATAATCTTGAACCAAATATCCAATATTATCCACATTACTTTCACTCCATTCTTTCTTCTTCTCTAGAAGCTTCAGGTCCACATTGGGCACAGGAAATATCCACGGAGGAACATTATCCCATACAGTAATTGGTCCGTATTCTATGTTATTTAATCCATATTCTTCTGCTACTGCATTAATATTCCAGCCAAATCCTTTACCTTTCAGTTGTTGTGTATATTCCCAACAGTCACACAGAACCTTTGTTGCAGGTTGTTCCTCTCCAGATCCTTTTAACTTGACCCAATATGCTAAAGACAACTTAGAACATCTCAAATATAATGGCAATTCATCAGCTTCTACCAGCAGTGCATTAGTAGGGGTTGTTTTCACTGCACCTATGCTGAGTCTTAGAGCTCTGAACTGTATTCTGTTTTTCTAAAATACTCTTGGCTGCTGCTCCACATACCATACAATCATAATCAATAGACGATCGTATTAAAGCCCTGTAAATATCTAGTAGTGATTGTTTATCTGCTCCCCATTGGTAACCAGAAACTGACCTCATGAGATTCAGTACCTTTTTTACATTTTGTTTCAACCTGTTTAACATGATTCCTCCATACACATTTCTCATCAAACCACAATCCTACATACTTGAACTCTTTCCATATTTTGTCCATACAATTTAAGCTTTGTGTTATTAATATTTCTCTTTCTGGTAAAGAACATATAGCATGACTTTACGACTGACATCTTAAATCCCCAATCATATGACCATCTTTCAACTTTTAATATAGCACTCTGTATGCTATTAGTCACATGCCTAATGTTTTTCCCTCTTTTCCATATAGCCCCATCATCTGCATAAAGTGATGATCCAATATCTCTACCAACATTTACAAAAATGTCATTTATCATGATGTTAAACAGAACAGGGCTTATAGCGCTCCCTTGAGGAATACCATTTTCAATTTCAAAATCCTCCAACACAGCATCTCCAACTTTAACAACGAAAGTTCAGTTAGACAGGAAGTCTAAAACCCAGTTGTATAGTCTTCCGCCAATACCCATTTCATGCATTTTTATCAGTAGTCCTTCTCTCCACATTGAATCATAAGCTTTCTCAATATCAAAATATACTATAGCCATGACCTCTTTCATACTAACTGCCTTTTCTGCCTCATTGCTAACTTTAACTAAAGCGTCTACCGTAGATCTTCCTTTACGAAGTCCACTTTGGTATTTGTTTAGCAGTCCTCTTTGCTCTAAATAATATGACAATCTACAGACAATTATCTTTTCCATCCATTTACACAAGTGCGATGTTAAGGCTATAGGTCTGTAGTTTCCTGCATTAATTGTGTCTTTACCAGGTTTACCAAAAGGTACTATCAGAGCACTTTTCCAACTATCAGGCATTACACCTTCTCTCCATATCTTATTGAACAGTTTTAGCATCATTTCCAAGACTTCTTTTGGTAATTGTCTAAACATAGCATAGCATAGTTGATCTTGTCCTGGAGCTGTATATCCACTTCCATCTAGGACCATTTTTAACTCTCGTAATGAAAAGTCCATGTCAATTGCCGATTCATCACTATCTTTTTTCTAAGTTACATCACTATATGTTCTTAAAATATCCTTTTTCCGTTGGTTATGTATTTCATCTAAATGACTCCCACTATGTACACTTGCAAACTTCTTACCTAGTAGCTCAGCTTTCTCCTTATTTGTAATTGCCAGGTGTTCTCCATCTATCAGCACTGGGATTTTAACTGATTTTCTTTCCCACTCATCTTTTTGATCATTGCTCAAATGTCACCCAATTTAACTTCTCTACCAATGGAGCAGAATTGCCTCCATGCATTCTTCTTGGATGACTTAATTATTTTCCGTGCCATAGCCCTCTTTCTTTCATAGTCAATCAGATTGTCTTGGCTCAAATGCTTTCTTAAAATTCTGAATGCATGATTTCTGTCTTTTATAGCATTTTTACATTCATCGTTCCACCATGGAACTATTTTCTTTTTCTCATTCACTGTGCTCTTAAGGATGCAGGTTGTTGCAGCACTAGTAATCATGGAAGTCAATGCTGCTGCGCAGCTATTTACATCACCCTCCATTGATATTCTTTCAGAATATTCAGTACAAAGTTCTCTTATTTTTTTCCCAGTTAGCTTTATGAAAACACCATCTCTCTATTACATGACCTTCCTGAACATACATATCAAAGTTCATGGAACACAATATTGGAAAGTTATCACTCCCTATGTTGGTATCATTCTTTACATTCCATTCACATAAATTACTCATATTTACTGAGACTAAAGTAAGATCTATACAAGAAACTGAATTTCTTGTAACATTAACCCTGGTACCTCTTCCATCATTAAGCCAAGAAAGTGATCTCTCCTCGATTAGTTCTTCAACTACTTCTCCATTAGTGCCTGTATGGTCACTTCTCCACAGAGTATTGTGAGCATTAAAGTCTCCACACCATATTTCTCTATCTACACTTTCTGAGATCTCATGGAATGTTTGCATTGATAATTTCTTGCACGGATTATAAAAATTGACTACTTTGATATTTCCTCTGGGACTACACATTTCTACTACTACACATCCATACTCATTTGGAACGGTTACCCTTCTATATGCTAAAGTATCTTTAATAAATGTTACACATCCTCCACCTTGTTTTCCAATTCTGTCACATCTAACCGAGTTGTAGCCTCCAAATGTGGTCTGAACCAAGTTTCTTGTATACACATAACATCAGGTACATCATAACATCTTCCAGATCAGTTACAACCTTCTTGAACTCTTGTCCATTTGCAATTAAACTTCTGGCATTCCAGTGGAGGATATGAAATACCATAATGAGGCTAATCGCCTTGAGACACTCCATTAGTCGGGTTCAACATCTCATGAATCAGTTCAGCTGTAACTTCCATGATCCCCAGTATCTCTATGGCTGCCTCTACAATTGTCTTGATTCTATCACTTTTTCTTCTGCTGTATTGCCACATTTACAGTCTTACAGATGAAAGCAACAAAGTTGGTTTTACCCACAATCAGTGTCTTCATTAATATCCTTGGATTTGTTTCTGTTTGCCTCTGACTTGGTGTTGGAGATGAAACCTCAATTACTCGTCTGTTCTCAGACTCTTGGGCTCTATTTACTACTTGTGTAACACTGGATCTGAATAGTTCACTTTCCTTCACTTTTTTTTTGCTGCATCAGCATAAGATACCTGATTAGTTACTTTATATATATGTACCTCTCTAGCTTGCCTTTGAACAGGGCATCCTCCAAAAGCACCGCTATGCTCACCGCCGCAATTACAACATTTCACTTTTGTATCCTGGCCAGATTTTCCATATTCATGTTCACCTCCACACCTAGCACATCTTTGTTTTCCTTTACATTGTCCAGCAGTGTGTCCCATTCTTTGACACTTGAAACATCTAATTGGTGCTGGGATAAACTCTCTTCAGTGTTTCCCACAGATTGACAGTGTAACTGTGGCGGGCGGAGCTTAGCTCTCCTTCTTTGCTAGGCCCCTTGCATGCTGGCTAATAACTTTTTTTAAGCTGGGTATCCGACATTGACAGCGTTGTGTTGGACAGATTTGTGCAGCGGAAATGTCACCACCTCCACGTCATAGGTTGAACTTCCAGAACTATCGCACCTTCCTTTCCTCTTATTATTTACATCCTGCCACGGCATACTATCACTATCTCCATCCGTACTTTTACCCATGAGAATTACATTCGCGGCACAGTTCCGCTGCACAAATTCGCCAAATACCAACGCTCGTTCTCAGTACGCTCAACACAATTCCGACCTCCGTTCACTTCCACCTCCCAAAAAAACGTCATCATGTCACTTGGCGCCTGCAGCCTCCTTGCTCCTGCGAGGTTTTAATGTCATGTGACATGATGACGTTTTGCATGAAGTCAAACGCACCTAGTGGTTCAGGCACCAACCTTTCGGTTAAAAACCCCCCGTTTTGCTACGTTTTGTCAGCGCTGAACACGCTCCAGATCTCGTCACACCTATGGACAGTGCTCTCCACCACCATAAGACCAAATAATAAATTAGAAAGTTTCATCTTCAAATCTATTTAGTGACGTTTCTGATGCTATATGTCCTCTTGATATGTCCAACCGTGTCTGTGGTTTAATTACCTGATTGAATAAAGGTGGTGTGTAAATAAATGAGGGATTCTCATGAGGAGGGACGCTGGTCCCTCCAGCACAGACTTGGCACGACCCTGAAGCTGTTCTGGAGCCTGCTGGTGGCCTCTCCATACTGACACACTTCATGTTAGTATTTCCTGTCATTTGTCACCCATCTGGAGCTAGCTACATGGAACTCTACCCCTAAAATCTCAAAGTTGTGAGTTTTTGAGTTGTGAGTGATTGAAAATGAGTACGGTAATCCAAGGGCGTCACTTTGTTTTCAAAAGTGGTGGGCATATTTAAGGGCTCAAATTAGGGGTGTGATGAAACACTTTATCAATTTAGCTGACGTCTTTATCCAAAGTGACTTGCAATTGCTTCACATGTCAGAGGTTGCACGCCTCTGGAGCAACGAGGGGTTAAGTGTCTTGCTCAGGGAAACAAAGGATGTCTCACAGTGGGAATCGAACCTGGGTT